CAGACTGTGAGGTCGAGAAGGTCAACCATACCCTACCCAACGGCCATCCCTCGGTTTACTTGTTCAAGCTGTCTTTGTCAGAGGAGAAATATCTAGAAGAAGCTGACAAGATGGATATCCTCTTCCAGCACCCTAGCGTTGAGGGTGTTTACGAGGGAAACATCCCACTCAGCACTCGAGCGGTACTCAAGCTAGGAAGCCATTGTACCTTCGATGAACAGCAACGTGGTGTCCTAGGTGACGGCTTAGACAAGGGCTTTGACCTTTCAACATTACTTCACACATCTTCTGAGCAGCCCTATCTGATGGACTCGTCATTAGTGTTCCACTACCTATATCACATTGTCTCTGGAGATAGACAAATCTTCGCAATATTCTCAACATCTAAGAATGAGGCGCACATTATTGTTCTCAACCGCACAAGAGATGTCCAGGGTCTTCCCAACGTCGACAAAATTTACACAGAGCTTCTCATGCGTAAGATGCAAGCCGCATCGGGTGATGAGTCGCAGCATGCGTTCGATTACCAGGACAAGATTCATTTCAAGACTACCCAGGTGATGACGCGAAGGAAGGCTCACCTCGAGGTTGGTGATCTGATTAGAAAGATTCGAAATGATGAGACTCAGCCTGCCGTTCTTGTTATTCAATCCCAACAAAAAGACCGCCTGTGTCACGACATTCCGATCTTGAAGGAGTATCCGGTATTATCCGTGAAGCCTGAAGCATCGGACATGGAACTTCCTCCACTGGGCTGGCAGGCCTTCGTTGCAAGACGCCTAGTCACGCGTTATCTATACTTGTCTTCTTGGATTCAGCACTTGACTATGCTCGCTCGGTTCGGTGATGTTCCACTTTGCAACCTTGAAAGTGAGGATCCTCGATACCTCATCGATATCTCGTACGCTAGACGTCTTCAACAAAACAATGTTGTGCTCTGGTGGTCATCCGGGCCACGTCCTGATCACGCGGGCTATGAAAGGGATGACATCCTAGGTGCTTTGGACAAGGTCAACATGCCGTCTGTCAATGTACCAGGCGCCTACTCCACAGTGTGCATTGAACTCGAGGTTCGTAATCTGTCGATCAACACAATTCTGACATCTTCTATCATCAATGAAATGGATGGCAATGATACGCTGCTGGCTTCTGGGGACGGTGAAGATACTGGTGTTTTCTATTCAGAAAAAGCTTTTGCCTCTGCCGGTGTTGTCGTTCTTCGAGAGATGGTAAAACACTGGTGGACAGAGGCCTGTGCAGGGAACAACATGGCCGATATCATGGTCCAGCATCTGATTCGATGGGTGGAAAGCCCCGTGTCCTGTCTCTATGACCGGTCTCTGCACAACTACGTGCGATTGATGTCACGGAAGTCATTCCAGAGATTGATGGCAGAATTCAGACGTGTTGGCTCGCATGTCATTTTTGCCAGCCCTACACGCCTCCTTCTCCAAACCACCAAGACCGAGGTTGGCAACGCCTACGCCTACAGTCAGTATGTCCTCAAGTCAATTCGCGCCAACCCTTCATTCCACTTTATCGATCTGGAGATCAAGGAGTACTGGGACTATCTCGTTTGGTATGATGAATACAACTATGGAGGCAAGGGCTGTCGAGAGGTCACCGAGGCCGACGAACAGGATCTCGAAACAGCGATGCACTGGCAACTCAGCCGTTTCTTACCAATGCCCATGCAGACTATATTCCATGACTGGATTGTCGAGTACATCGAGCTGATGCACGGCTTGAAACGGCCGGAACCCCAGGACGGGGATCTGTCCTCAACGCCTCGACCAACGCAGATTCCCATTGGACGGACCGATGAAGTAGATGATGATGAGATTACTGCTATTCTCGCAGACCGATTCTCAAAGCCATTGAAGAAGCAAATCTCCGGGTTGATCCGCAGACAACGCGACGAGATGCTTCATCCTGAGCTTGCATCCGATTATGCCTTCCCCGTGTTGCCAGGAGTCCTAGTCGGCGCCAAGGACAAACGCAACCCATCTTTAGAGTTGACGAAACTGCTGATGCAGGTTCTGAGTTTGTCCAAGACCACAACCCTGGAATCCCGGTTGCTGCGGCGTGAGCTTCTTGCCCTTTTCGAGGTCCGAGAATTCAGCAAGGAGGGCCGATTCGAGAACCCTAGTGCTAGCTTGAAGCTCCCAGAAGTGTCCTGCAACTCCTGCTGTCTTATTCGAGATCTCGATCTCTGTCGCGACGAAGATGTGCTGCCTGATGCCAGCTCAGAAGCCAACAAATCTACCCAGCCCTGGCGCTGCCCCTTCTGTCACGCTGAGTACGATCGATTGGCGACTGAAGAATTCCTCATTGGTCAAGTCCATGGTTTTGTTGTTGAATGGCAGACACAGGATATCAAGTGTTCGAAGTGCAACGGTCTTAAGATCAGTGATTTCATGGAGCACTGTTCTTGCAGTGGTGCATGGATCGCGACAGTTGATCGAAAGGAGATTGAGAAGAAACTACAAGTGTTAGAGAGCGTGGCCAAATTCCACAAGCTACAACTATTGGAGCACGTTGTCGAAGAAGTGCTGGAGCGATTTTGAATGTATCATTTTTCTTTGATTTTTCTATGATATTTCCTTGATTTTCTGTTTTGCATTGGGATGGCGCTGAGTCGGGAAATGTAAATAGCTTAAGATAGCCAACTGGGCAGAAATGCCTCATCAATAATCACGCCGTTGATCTCTTTTTTGATCTCGGCCTTTAATTATACTTCATATTTCTTTCAAGATTCTATTTCAACTGCCAATACTCTTGGAAGTTGAACCGTTTGATTGTTTCATCTGACGTTTCAGCCCTTCCCAATTAGCCCCGCCAACGAGATTCCCCAGGATTCTCAACTTCGAAGCCCCGCAGTCCCTCGAAAAACACCAGCCCGTTGGGGATACCATAAACCCATATAGGTGTAATCAGCGCTTGGTCGCCTAACTGTGAGTGTTCTCTGTGCCGTCTCTGCTTGGGTATTCACCCTGGATTCCTGTGTCACTTTACCGCAAGGCTGACTTTGAATTGCGCAGGTACATAGGAACAGGCATATATATATCGCACCCCCCGAAACCCCTCCAGCAGCGCTCAGCTCTTCACTTGCGCTTTGCGTCGCACGACTTCCGCATCTTCCTACAATCCGCATCGCGCACCCCGCACCTGTTTCATTCGGAATGGCGGCACAACCCCCGAGCGGCCAGAGGCCGAAAGTTCAGCCATGCCGATACAAGACCGGAAAGACATTGGGCGCTGGTTCGTACTCTGTTGTGAAGGAATGTGTGCACATCGATACCGGCCGCTATTATGCGGCGAAGGTCATCAACAAGCGTCTTATGTCCGGGCGGGAGCATATGGTGGGTGCCGGGAGAACTACAACTGCAGAGATAAGGGCATGACTGACGTTTTTCGCAATGTACAGGTCCGGAATGAGATTGCAGTATTGAAGAAGGTGTCGCTGGGCCACCAGAACATCCTCACGCTGGTTGACTACTTTGAGACTATGAACAACTGTGTGTTTTGCTCCTCCGTGGTGGTTCCAATCGCACCCCCACTAACGAAGGATACTCTCTAGTATATCTTGTCACTGATCTCGCGCTGGGTGGAGAACTCTTTGACCGCATCTGTCGCAAAGGCAGCTACTATGAATCGGACGCTGCAGACCTGATGCGCGCAGTGCTCTCCGCCGTAGCCTATCTGCATGACCATGGAATCGTCCACCGTGATCTGAAGCCAGAGAACCTGCTTTTCCGCACACCAGAAGATAATGCCGATCTGCTGATTGCCGATTTCGGATTGTCGAGGATCATGGACGAGGAGCAGTTCCACGTCCTGACTACAACCTGCGGAACGCCAGGATACATGGCACCGGAGATCTTTAAGAAGAGCGGCCATGGCAAGCCAGTGTAAGTCACATCATTGCGCTTTTTTATATTTTGCTAACATGCGTCCCCTTCCAGCGACATCTGGGCCATTGGTGTAATCACCTACTTCCTGCTATGCGGATACACGCCCTTCGACCGAGACTCCAATCTCGAAGAGATGCAAGCAATCCTAGCAGCAGACTACTCCTTCACGCCGCTTGAGTACTGGCGTGGTGTATCGCAGGAAGCGCGCAACTTCATCAAAAGCTGTCTGACAGTCAACCCGCAGTCACGGATGACAGCCCACGAAGCTCTCCAACACCCATGGGTCAACCTACCCTACGACAGCGGCAAGGTCGGCTCGGGCGAAGACCTGCTGCCAACTGTCAAGAAGAACTTCAATGCGCGCCGCACGCTGCATCGTGCCATCGACACCGTGCGGGCTATCAACAAGCTCCGTGAGGGCGGCGGCTTCATGATGGACGGTGTTATGAGCGTTGATCCCAAGCCTGAGCGTGTCAATGGCGATGAGATTATCGAGGAGCAGCATAATGTACCTCCACCTGCACCGGTTGATGCTGACGGGAGTCGGATGCAGATTGATAGTCGTGGTAATGCGCGCGGGCAGACTGAGGAGCAGATCCGGGCCCAGGAGCGGAAAGTTAAGGAGATGGTTGCTGGTTTGTGGAGCCGTACCCCTCGTTAGAATGCGTGAATACGTATACTTGGCTTCTGTCTATGCCGTGTTTCGTCCGTGGTGATGCTTTGCAGATTTGGGGATCTCTGGCTCTTCTCTGGTCTAGGACTTTTACTTTACTTGACTCCTTTTCAATGTCTCTGCATACCACACCATTATCAAATCCAATGAATGATGTTAGTATTTATAATCAATAATTCCCGGATGAATCCTGGTTTGAAATGCTTGTCCACTATCTTTATAGAGCTGAGATGCCATACCAATTTATCATGGCTCTGGATGCCCAGGCCATTGCCATCCCTTATTAATTCCCATGCCGAAAAAAGTTGTTAACCGAAAACTAACGCAAAGAAGTATCATCACGGTCATAATCATCAGTCCCACATGAAGCGTTGAGATATGGGACGAAAAGCAAAGCGATCTAAAAAACCCAATCAATCCGCACCTGCCAGGATCTCCTCTCCGCCATCTAGAGACAGGACCCACTCTCGCCATTCCCACCACTCTGCATAACTAGCGCTTGCCTTGAGGCCCTGGTATCTGACAGTACGGAAATCCGAAACCTGGTCCCAAGGTTTAGTGGCGTTGGAGTTCCCACCAGTTGCACCGCGTAGCAGTCTCCGTGCAGTACTACTACTACCACCATCCCAGCCTGCCTTGCGCATCAGGCTCTCCACGGTCTCTTCCTTGGTCCAGCCCTGCTCGACAGCGACATCAGGGAGATATGTGGCGCCATAGCGACGACCGCGGTGAATGAAAGAGATGCGCAGTCCGTGGGTGCCCAGAGACCAGTCCATAGCATTTGTACATGGCTCGAAGGACCCAAGGAGGGTGAGAGAGCATGAAAGTGAGGGGAGAAGGGATTTGGGAATGGGTTCAAAACGGGTGTCATCGAAGGCACTAAGACAATATCACATGTGAGTTAGTCTGATATATAGATGGGAGTGTGTATACCATTGTTTGTAGCGTTATAGCGAGAGAGGGGTATTCAAGGGAACCACGTACGAGGTCAAAGCGTAGGACTTCAACCCCGCTGCAAGTTCCTGCGCCTCAAATGTGCCTATGCAGCCACGTAGAGACTTGTGTCCGCTTCGCGACACGGTATTCCATGTCACGAACAGCGGATACCGCTGATTAGATGATCTCGGCTGGGAGTTCTCGGAAGCTGTACTTGGCGTGGTGATGTTGGTTGAGCTTGACTGTAGTGAATTGGACGAAGGTGTAGATGCAGACGACGAAGGTGTGGCTTCACTGGAAGAGGCGGGAAATTGGCTCTGAAGACGAGTGACGCTGGGGATTTGTAGCTGCTTGGGCTGACTACTCGAGTGGGACGATTGGTTGCTATCGTCATCTTCGTCCTGTTCACTTACGGATTGCTGTCGATTTGTGTCTTCCTCTTCAATTTGCTCTTCAAGACTCGACAGCTTCTTAGTTTGCTCGTGCTGTTCCCATAGGGCCTCTACGGCTTCCAGAGTGGTGGGCTCGCGGTTCTCGAATGAAGCCAAGAGAGACTCAAAGCAATAGTAGCATTGAGCGGTATTCGCCATGTTGGGCAACGTCCTGCTTCCTCTTGATTTACCAGTGGCTTCTTAAAGATGCACTGCACTGGTTTAGATTCCTCAAATCGAACACAAGTTGGTGTAAGTACGTATGTGCCTTAAATAGGTGGTCTCCGCAATGGTCCGGGGCGATAAGATACTACGCCCTTATTGATGGAGCCTGGAAATCTAATGAGAGCCAAATTTGGGAGCCGTAGGTGAATATCAAGCAGTGCAGTAACGAAAATTTAGGGGCAAGATATAGAAAGGAGGAAAGCAGAAACAAATCAGGATGGGGAAAAAAGAAGAGAGAACCAGGGAAGACTTATCCGAGCCCACGTGGACCCAGTCTATCGCAGTCTACCGCCAGTGCGCCAGCTTAGATTCTGCCTGCAGTATACTAGTACCTATGTTGTAGGTGCATATGTTGTAATATGTAGTATGTAGTATGTAGTATGTAGTATGTAGTATGAGCATTGCATACATCCAATTCCATATATCGTTGAAACAATCTAGAAATTTCAGCTGCCCTCTATAGTCCAACTTTCTGCTTGTCTTGTCCTTCACCCCAGTTCATAGCAGCAATTATTTCTCTATCCATATCCCAGCCGCTATAACTGTCATCATCTGGATCGTTCCAATAAAGCGACCGATCATCATCATCTGCGCTGTTATCCACGGTCTTCCCATTTGGAATGGGGACATCAATACCCTCGAGAATCTCCAATGATCTTGCGTTGTTCTCGCATATCAATCGGTCAAGTTGAGCATCGACATCTAGATCAGACTCATACTCAAAGCACTTATACTCTGCTTCCTCCCCTCGCCCATAAACACGAAGAGATTTGAGGTTAGGTGGCAAATTTCCAGCGAGATTGAAGGCCTCAGGGCCAATACGGCCATTTTCGAATCGGTTCTCGCCGAATCCGACGCCCTGTGCAAAATAGCACAGAGTGTGGGCTCCTATGCTAAGGCGTTTCAGTCGTGGGAAGTCTTTTAGCGAGATGTAGGAGGGCAGAGTTTCCAGATCTTGCGAGGCTAGTTCGCGAAGGTCATCGGCGTACTCTTCCTCATAGTCTCCCTGGTCATCCTCCGGGATACCCTCGCTCTCCATCAGCCGAAAAGTAGGATCATAAAGCTCGCGCCGATCCACATGGCTTTCTATGTCAATATCTAGCTCTTCCAGGGTCTGCCGGTGGGACCAAAGAGATTTAAGTAGCGGGGTTGCATTAAAGGTTGACGGGACTCCATCCGGATCCTTGCGCCCACCCACAGTAAAAGTGAAGCTCTTAAGTGTTTTGGGCGACTCAATAATGCGACAAAGATCATAGTCAAGCAAGAAGGAGTGTGTAATGCTTATTTTGCTATAGTTGGCGCAGCGTGGTGGGAGAGGAAAGCCCGCATCGTTGTCCCATGCTGCTAACTTGAACGAAACTGATTCAATAGCGGGGAGTTTGCGAACCAAATTCAAGCGATGGTAGTACGGATCTGCCACATACTCCGTGCCCTCGTTCATAGACTCATCCGGGTGGAAGTGTATGTCTCGTAGATTTTGGCAGTAGGGAACTAAGCTAGGTGCGTTAGAGGCTCGACGCAGTAGTGCCATGAGCCTATTTTTGGCGCCGTGCAAGGGGAACATAGACAATGATTGAAGATTGGGTGCGTTCGCAACCAGTAGCGTAACAAGCACATCTGTGAATTCGACTGATTCTAGCTCGAGATTACTCCTGTTTTGTATAAGCAACCCGAATTATAAAAGGGCAAAAGAACGTAATGTACCTGAATTGGGTTGGATCCTGCAGAATGGTAGACAACATAGATTCCCGATCCTGGGTTTCTTGAATGTCAGCCTTCTCGATGGCTTGTTTGAGTCTGTTAATATCTTCCGGAGAAAATGAGCGTTGAGGGATAGGCTCAGAGGAGCTACCCCACGCACCCGGGCTCATATCACTTCCGTATATGACTAGATGGTGTAGGTAGCCTGCAAGAGAGGGATTGACTAACATTTCAAGCAACATGTCCTGTCTGGCATGGAGCTGGTCTTTGAACTGTCGACCTAGCTTCAATTTATGATACTTCTGCCGATTGGACACCTCAGTCGCGCTATGCAGTCCACGAGTTTGTCGCGATAGAGCTGCAACATCATCCACGGCAGGGAGATTGTTGGTAATTTTGACCACCATTTCAGGTGGAAGATTTTGCAACGATATCTTCCTGCATTGTCTGAACAAACGCGACCGAAAAAGGTAGAACATAGTGAGGCTGAGATAATTGAAAAAACATAGGGAGAAACGATAGGGGCAAAAGCCAGACTACGGCAGTCTCCAACCACTAGTGCGCTATATCAATTTTCGTGGAGTATATGTAGTTAAATATGAGTGTTTTATATATAATATATATCAATACACCGATATCGCATCAATTCTCTACAGAAGTTCAAAAATTCCAGTCTAATTCTCAATATTTAAGTTCTTGATGATTATTGAATTTTCAAGATATGAATTATCGATGCCTGAATTGTCTATAATCTAACCTTGAAGCTCTTCCTAAACTTCTGGACATTTATACATTTTTCACCGCTTAAAAGACGACTAAAAAGATGATTGAAAAAGCATGACAAGGCTGTATAAGCGTCTAGCTCTTCTTAGTACCCTTGAATCCTCAATGCTTACTGTGAGAACATCTGAACCTTCCAAGTGGCGCACTGGCTGCAATAGACTGCTAACATACGTGATCCCTAGTATATGACGTCAGAGACAAGCTAACTTAATCGGGAACTATTGATTTATTAGAGTAGGCTTCTATCAATTGCATCAGGTCTCTGTTCATTGATTTTAATATGACAACTCGTGCTATTAAAGCACCGAGATACCCGCAGTTAACCCTCCGGGTATACCAGGCCAACAGTTCTCTTCTTGCCGGTAAGTCACGATAGCTTCATAGATGCGAATGTGACAACTAATACAACCTTTCTATAGCCATGACAGTCCCGCATGACCCACATGATTGATATCTGTCTTCTAAAATGCTGTATCAGTACTGCTAATTGATATTCCTCTTTCCCGAGGCGGAAGACTGGGGAATCTTCAAATTGCTCAAGGCTGGCACGCCAGGTAGTATACTTAGATCTAGCAGTCGAAACTTGTGCACCCCGGTAACTACATTGTTCTGGATAGCTGGCACCTGCGTACGTGCCTGTACAAAAACCTAAAAGTCAATGCGGAACTAGAACCAATCTGGGAGGAGGATCTTGGAGAAGACCCCATGGGCAGCATTCTCAGGGAGCTAGATGCGGCTGAACGAATGGAAGTTGAGGTTTTCATGCGCCTAGGAGGACTGATAGCGTGATGGATTCAAAACCAGGTGATTGCTAGAGTAAGGGTTGTTAAATAAATGATAATGAACCTTCACAGAGATATTTCCGCCAAGGCATGAATACTTACCAAATCCATATATCCATGGAGGTTTGATCTCCCTGCCATCCATATCCCGCTCCCTGGTTATACATAGAAACGTTGTCTGTACGGTTTGCACTTTTCCTCTTGCCTTTTTCTGCTATCTAGCTATGAGATCGAGAAGGGAGAGAAAATATCTAAAAGAGATCTGAGAATAATGTGCGAAAGACCACCAAAAGCACATGACAAGGCCGCATAACCGGCCGACTGTTTTTGTTCCTAAATATAAGAAAACCCAAACAAGCCGATACTAATGGCACCGCATCGCTACACTTCTACGTGTCCGCAGCCACATCACGCTAGATATAGGGCCAAACCTAGGAAAAACCAACCAGAAAAGACATATGGGAATCTACATTGTAGTCGTGATATGGTCTTGAATAATTGAACCATATCACATGGATGGGCAGGAAGGAGCAAGCAGATGAGAAGAAAATAGTCCTTGGATTCTATAGATCCTTGTGTTGAGAATAGATTGTAGAATGTACATAGGACGCCCAATTAATGTTGAACTTTCCCCTTAGAAAATGTGAGCCCGCTGTTGAATAAGTGCGAGGCCCAACCGCCAAAAATAACAATTGCTCGTTTCACATGCAAAAAAGCATTCCCATATCCCAATGACCCGCGTCAGGTTGAAAAAGCAGTCCGGTAATTAACCCCTTAAAACGCACCCATGTACCTTTTTTCTTTTGTTATACGAAATGATGTTGAACTCGTGGGATCATGATTCAGATCCCTCTTTATTTTTCCGTAACTCATACTCATAGACCTCAATATCCCATTTAAACGGGGAGAGGGAAGGTGCTGGCCCACTGGGCAATCTCCTTGCGGAGAGCAAGGATCTCAGGAACGCTATCATCGGCAACCTTGGCCTTGAAGTCCTTGAGCTTGTTGGCCTCCTTGGGAAGCTCGCTCTGGATCTTCTTGCAGAGAGCGATGGACTGATCAATGTAGCGGGCAATGCGCTTGAAGTCCTCCACACCCATACCACGGGAAGACATGGCGGGGGCACCAATGCGGATACCGCAGGGAGTGAGGGCCGACTTGTCACCGGGGATAGAGTTCTTGTTGCAGGCAATGTTGATCTGCTCGAGAACGGCCTCAACGCGAGCACCATCAAGGCTGTTGGCGCGGAGGTCAACGAGAACCATGTGGCTGTCAGTGCCGTCGGAGACGAGCTTGTGGCCAAGAACCTTGAACTCCTCCTCGAGAGCCTTGGCGTTCTTGATGACCTGCTCCTGGTACTGCTTGAACTCAGGGGTGTCAACCTGCTTGAGAGCAACGGCCAGAGCAGTAATGGTGTGGTTGTGGGGACCACCCTGGTGGCCAGGGAAGACGGAGAAGTTGATAGGGTTCTCGAGGTCGTAAAGGATATCCTTGCCGGCCTTATCGGTGCCGCGGACACCCTTGCGGAAGAAGATCATGGCACCACGGGGGCCACGGAGGGACTTGTGAGTGGTGGTGGTGACCACATCAGCGTACTCGAAGGGAGAGGGAATGACACCGGCGGCGATCAGGCCAGAGATGTGAGCCATATCGACAATGAGGTAGGCGCCAACCTTATCGGCAATCTCGCGCATGCGCTTGTAGTCAATGAGACGGCAGTAAGCGGAGGTACCGGCGACCAGGCACTTGGGACGGTACATCTCGGCGTTACGCTCGAGAGTGTCATAGTCAATGATACCGGTCTCAAGGTTGACACGGTAAGGGAAGGTCTCGAAGTAGGTGGAAACGGCAGAGATCTTCCGGGCGGGGGTCTGGTAGCCGTGGCTCAAGTGACCACCGTGGGGGAGATCCAAACCCATCAAGCGGTCGTGGGGACGCATGAGAGCCTGGTAGACCTGGAGGTTGGCGGGGCTACCGGAAAGGCACTGGACGTTGACACCCCACTTGGCGGGGTCCAAGTTGAATGCCTTAAGAGCACGCTGCTGGCAGGTGATCTCGATGGCGTCGATGTGCTGGTTACCACCGTAGTAACGAGCACCGGGGTAACCCTCAGAGTACTTGTTGCACATGGGCGAACCAAGGGCATCGAACACAGCACGGGAAGTGAAGTTCTCCGAGGCAATCAGAACGATTGACTCACGCTGACGCTGGATTTCCTTCTCCTGTACAAGTAGAAAAATTAGTCAAGCCGAATTTTCTGTGGACAATACATCCAATTGCAGGTCCAATGGTGTATAATTTCAACGTACCATGATGGCAGCAATCTCCGGGTCGCTGGACACGAGGGAGTTGTGCATTTGCTGTAATGAGTCAATAACCTTGATGCTAAAAATGAGGGCAGATATGATACTCACGTCCCGGTGGGACTCGGAAAGAGCGTAAGACATGATGAAAGATGGTAATCTGTCTTGTGAGTTAAACAAAAATAATTGAGGAGAGAGAAAGGGAGGTGAAGAGGGAAAAAAGAAATGGAAGTGGTGGGGGAGGGGATCTGCCGTTTGCCTCAGGCGCTGAACTTTTTTCTTTTTACTTCCAACGATATCGGAGACAGCTGACCGGATTAAAATTTTAGGTTATAAAATTTGTAAATCCTGGAATGGTACTGGAATGGCTGGAAATAGCCAAGGAAAATTGTACCGCATTAGTTACAGCTTCGAAACAATAACCTTGGAATGAATTGGCTATTTCCTTTGAACACCCTTCGAGAAATCAGAGAGAAGAGGAAGTATGGTATGAATTGCTGGATTTGCCACAGCTCATGAAATGATGGCGTTTTGTTGTGAAATGATCGCTAAAAACACCAGGGTATTTCCTTATTATAAACGCCAATAAATCAATATGAAAATCCTGCAGCACCTGGCTGACTCGAAAATTCTCATTGTAAACCGAAATTCCCCAAGGTTTCAAGCTTCATGCTTCCACAGTCCTCGTATTGTTCTCATGTAGCATTCCTGCTCGATTCCCAAAGTCAGAGATAACAGAGCGTAAACGCCTCACACGATCCTCCAGGTCTGCAATCTCTCTTTGTTGGTCATTGACAGACCGATGTACATCTGGTAGCCCCTCGACGACTGTACGAGCCTTCTGGATTCGAATCCTCACAGAGCTGGTTTCGGTAGGGAGGTTTTTCACATCGAGCGGCGGATGAGCACTTGAACCGAGGACTGATACCCCTGATACAGCATGTGAAGATGTAGTGTTGTCGTTGTGTCCACCATTAGGGATGTTTGAAGGTGCTTGTTGGGTCTGTGCCTGGGAAGCTCCTGAGACTCCTGTTGCATCTCCGGGTGCGTCTGACGAACCAGGTTGCTGACCTTTGGAGGAGAGCAAGCGAGAGAGAATCCCATGCAATGGTGGGATTATCTCAAAGGTCTGTGGTGAAGGAAAAGGTACTGTTTGTGGTGCTGGTGTTGGCGCATCTTTAAAGGGCGTCTCGGGCGCAGGAGATTTCAGTAGCGGGGTGCCTACTGCCACTGGTGGAGATCGAGAAGCCATTGTCGGGATTGTTGACTAAAAAAAATCCCGAGGAAAGATATTTGGAGAACGAGGAGATCCCGGCTGGGGTAAATTTCTAGGGAAGAGTCGGAAGGTACCCCGTAGATCCGTCCCCGGGTGGCCGCAAACACATGCTTAGATCAGCAAAATTACGCTCCTGGCACCCGGTGACGTCGGGACCCATGCCCCTCCTTCACCGGCGGCCTTTTTTTCTGTTAATTAAGTGGTCTGATTCTTCTTCATTCGATCTCTTCTCCTTTAAACATCTATCTAAAGGTAAGTAGCTTTGTTGGTTTATCGTTAAATTTCTCTTGGTTCAGCAATTGACCAGTGTTCGTATAGTTCTAGGTGTGATATAATCACCTTAACTACCCCACTATGGCCGAACAAAAAGTTGCTTTGAGTATGATCGACTACCACCCAGGTCCCCAAAAGATATACCGGCTAATGTAAATCCTTACAGTTGTGATTGATGGCTGGGGTATCGCAGGCCCCAACTCCCCACCCGAGGGAGATGCCATCGCCGCAGCTGATACCCCACACATGTCCAGCTTCGCCGACCCCAACTCCAAGACTGCCCAGGGCTTTGCCGAGTTGGATGCATCCTCTCTCGCTGTTGGTCTGCCTGAGGGTCTGATGGGCAACAGTGAGGTCGGTCACCTGAACATTGGCGCTGGCCGTGTTGTCTGGCAGGACAGTGTTCGCATTGACCAGACCCTCAAGAAGGGCGAGATGGGCAAGGTGCCCAGCGTTGTCAAGGCTTTCACCCGTGCAAAGGAAGGTAATGGACGTCTGCACCTTCTGGGCTTGGTCTCAGATGGTGGTGTTCACTCCAACATCACTCACTTGTACGCCTTGCTCGAGGTCGCCAAGGAGATGCAGATTCCCGAGGTCTTCATCCACTTCTTCGCCGATGGACGTGATACCGACCCCAAGAGCGCCGATAAGTTCATGCAGCAAGTGCTTGAAAAGACCCAAGAGCTCGGTACCGGTGCGATTGCCACTGTCGTTGGCCGCTACTACATCATGGACCGTGATAAGCGCTGGGAGCGTGTTGAGATTGGTCTCCAGGGTCTGGTCACTGGCGAGGGCGAGGAAAGCTCGGACCCGGTGCAGACCATCAAGGAGCGCTATGAGAAGGGCGAGAACGATGAGTTCCTGAAGCCTATCATTGTTGGCGGCCAGGAGCGCCGTGTTCAGGGTACGTGTTCTCCAAGTTCAAAAAGACAAGGTCATGACAGCTAATGAAGCCGTATAGATGATGATACCCTCTTCTTCTTCAACTACCGCTCTGATCGTGTCCGTGAAATTACCCAGCTGCTGGGCGACCATGACCGTTCCCCGCGTCCCGACTTCCCCTACCCCAAGAACATTGACCTCACCACCATGACCCAGTACAAGTCTGACTACAAATTCAATGTTGCTTTCCCCCCGCAACATATGGGCAATGTT